ACAGATACACATGATCTGTTAATTGTTAATTAAAGCAGAGATTCAGAAAAGACATCACAACTACATAGAGCCAGAACACGGCAAACAGCATGGGAAAGAATTGAGCAAAGATTTAGCATGTTAGATGAGAAAAAACAAAGCAAATTACAGTGAAAGCTGTTGTTGCACTAAGGTTTGATGCTCTGGGAAAGGATCATAATTGCTTAATAGCCCAGCTGCATAATACGTATACTGGGCGTTTAAAGCATCTGCATGGTAGTTCTTTTGAAACTTGCGCCTTCTTCTGTGGATCTGTAATAGTCATAATCAGAAGAATCAAATGAATTTGAAAATCCCAGTACGTAAAAAAAACACTGAAATGAATTTTCAAAAAACTCTTCGCATTTTAAACATTTAACGCTCAGAAATTTCCTGAGAAAGAACTAAAAAACTCGACGGAAAAGAAAATAATAAAGAACTAATAACAGTTAAATGTTAAAAATGGACAAGCACTCTATACCACTTAATATCTTGGTATTTTTAAAAATCATTCAGTTACAATAAGCACCAGGACCTCTGAAGCTGGAAGAAAAAATAAATCAATCTAAACTGTCACAATCTAATACAACACAGCAGAAGACTGCTATGACTCTTGATTAAAACACCTCAAAAAAAAAGCTGGATTAAGTCATTAACAGCCTTGATGCATTAGAAGTGACAAGTTCGTTGAAAAAAAAACGAGTTGCACTTAGCTCAAACCTTTTTAAAAACCAAATTCAAAAACTCAGACACTTTATAAAACATTCAAGCGGACACATGATTTGATTCAATAACACTAAAAAAAAACAAAATAAACGAGCTTTTTGTAAGATTAGTCAGCAGCAACTAACACGGTATTTGATAAAACAGATGCATTCATACAAGCACACAGCATTATGCCTTACAGAAAGTGCAAAAACAATTAATGTTTTCATTTCACACTAACGTTATTAAAGATATGCAAATACAAGCTAATCTTCTTCAGAATAGAACTTGAATGACTTCACTAAACTAAACCTGCAGAAAATCTCTAAAGCATTGTTTATTGAAAAACGTTTTTTAAAGTCGAGACCCTTTATACGAATGAAATTAAAAGTATGTGTTGAAAAGACCTCAATATTAGTAACATATAACTTATGGTTTAACAAGGCGTAAAATGAGAACGAAGACAATTTTGAAACTTGCCTTAAGAAGAGCACGTAAATCGGCTTCCGTGGTAGGCGCTTCCCCTCCCGACTCTGAATCCGATTCTTCAATTAAAAGGTTCTTAAGCCAGCGCCTTTCCTTCAAGTTGCAAAAGTTATATAACTGACATATTTCTGCCTGCCTATCTTGTTCTGAAGCCCATATCGATTTTACCGAAAATATACTCGGACGCTGTTTGTTGCTTGAACCAGGGAACGGTAAAGCAGTAGATCCAGGGATCCTAAAGGAATATAATGATTGAGAACATCAATATGTTATTGGAATTCGCCAAAACAAAAAAAAAATTAGTTGCAAGTTGTTGTACAGGTGTCTTCTTGCAAAAAAACAAAAGCTTATTTAAACAAAATAAGCGAAGACCAAAATAAGAAAACTTCTACTGAACAGACTAGACCTGCAATTCAGACGGTCAAGATCCAATTAAACAGCACACTACAGACGTACTTCAATACTGACAGAAGACGCGATAACCAAGGATATTATAAAAGATCAAAAAATTGTCACTAACAAAGAACCAAATTAACTCACAAGATTTAAAAAGCTAAGGGAAGCTTCAACAAGCTAAGAAGTATAAGTCCAAAACCATAAGTCCCTGCTAACGACAAATTATGCAAAACCAGGCAAAAATGGCCATGGTCCTTTTAAAAAGAAAACTGAGCAGATGGTTCGCAAACTTCAATTTTTGAAGCGCTCATATCAAAATCATGCACATGCCAGAAACCAAACTTTCAAACTCTGTTTTTAATAACATACTGTCAAAAGTTAGTTGATAGTGCGAAGAAAATTGACTAGTAACTTGATCCTTTGAAAAAACAGAACGAGGAAATGTAAGTAAAGCAATAAGAGCCTCAGTATAACTCACTGAATCCTTCAGTTCTACAGTCCTCGAAATTCAATATCCTTCATCACGTGCCAAAGACACTTCCCCTAATCAATAAAAAGACTATCTCATTTTTGTTCATAAACTAAACAATAAGGCTCAAAGAGTAGTATGCAGGAGAATTTTTAATGGAAAGTGCAAATGTAAATCGAATTATACGATTAGCATTCTCGCACTGAATTATTAGTTTCAAGCTTAGTCTGAAAAGATTTAAATTTGAGGTAGAATCATTGAACCAGAATTTCCCCCACTTCTCTAACAAACCAAAATAACCAAATACTTAATTTACTCCCGGCCACAAAAAAACTGAAAAACATCCCCACAGTGTAGACTACAAGGAAAGGAAAAGTGTCGCAGTTTTACATAAAAATGCAAATCATTTGCAAGTCACTGTTACCTAAATTTATTGGTGCACTGCAGCTAAAAATATTTTTCTATCATACTGAAAAGAAAACCCCTTGAAGTTACAACTAAATCAAAAGAAATTGAAATAACTATTTTTTAAAATCATTAGTTTACGGTACCTAAACAAAAGCTGCTGCTAGAACATGTTTAGTAGTAAGATTAAGCAAGACGAACTCTTAGTACACACAGGTTAAAAACAGCGCTAACTACAGATAAATCATGTATACAACAAAAGTTATATTCTACTAGCAAAAATCTTTTCAGTTACTCTGTTAGACACCGTATACCCTTACTCAATAAGGTACTAAAAACTTCAAAAAAAAAACTAAATTATTCTAAAATTCTTCACTCAAAACAACACCCCTAATTTGAATTATCAGTATCCAGCAAACCAAACAAGTGCAAAAAATAAAAGCCTGAAGCGTCAACGAGCAAACATTAAATGAGGATATGCCTTCAAAAAGATCAAGCAAATGGATCACTACACGTTACAAAAAAAAAGAAGTATTTCAAGTCAACCGAGTTTTCTATAATTTTGAATTCCAGTAATTTATACACCTGAAGAACTCGCAAAAAATAGAAAATTCCAAATAAAAACACTGAAAGCCTAACCAATCACTTACAGTGATCCCCTACGCTCAGTAATGCAGTATTCTAAAAGAGACCCTACGATGCACGCGAAGGCAGGAAACTTTATACACCCCCCCCCCGCTCCTCGCTGCACCCGAACCCAAAAATACTCAGCTTTCATCTCAAAAAATAAAAAGAACATATAAATTAAGCAACGCCAAACCAAGCACTTTATAAATCTTCATGATCTTTGGAGTTCCAAATGGGAGACTCTGAAACCTTCAAAAACAAAAAAAACATCGTCAACTCCCCCGACCATTAACTGAAACCCCTCAAAGTTTTCAAAATTTTCCATCTAATTATTCGTCAAACCGTCAGTTACGCTCGCTAATTTTTTATAAGGACTTACAAGCTGTCGCTTTCCCGCAGACTAAAACAGTTCCAAAGACTGTAGATCGCCGTCTAAGTTTCACTAATACACAAATTCAGGTTGATGGGGCACGTTGATAAGCCAACAGTTGCCGAAACAGTTCGTCTTCGTGTGATCCTCAAAACCCTCCCTTAAACCCGATTTTAAAACTTCGCATCCCACTCATTTACTTCCACCTCAAGTTCAAAACTCCAGATTTCTTTAAAAAAAAGCCATGACCAAGATTAAAATTTGTTATTCTTTATATTTATAAAACATACATTTCACATTATACTACGGTTTATCCGGAAGAAAATATGAGGTTGGAAGGAGAAGACTTGTATATTTGAGCCCTTCCATCCAGGATCACTTTACTCTCTGAAAAAAATTTACAAATTCCTAAACTGTACTGTCAAGTTTAAGATAACAATCCTACAATTTAAAAACGCGGTATCCTCTGCGGAAACTAACTGCTGGCTTCCCCTCGTGGTTATGAACATACATGAACATCCAAGGTGTCTGTTACTTACAAGTGCTCTAAAAGACACTAAACTTTAAGTATTGGACCCGTATAATTCAATTCATTTGTATATATATATATATATATATATATATATATATA